GGGAAAGCCCAAAGACTGTAGTGCAATTCATGTAAATAATATATAGAAAAGCTATTCAATCCACTCCAAGGTTCTCTGTCAGGTATAAGCGGATCTTCCAAAAGCCACATTTTTTCCAAAAGCCAGTCTGAGAAGCAGCGGTCAGCATGCATGTGAGCAGGGCAAACTCACAGGCGGCTTTCCATCATTAAAACCCTACACTTGAAGGAAAAACTCCTCAAACATTCCTCGGGGCCATGGCCTATTGAACAAGATTTCCACTTCCCAGGAGGCACTGTCCCTACAACTGACTCAGCTTAAAGAGGGGTGGGCAGTGGTGAAGGCAGACTCGCCAGCCCCGTCATGGGTGTTTCTCGTCTCTTCCACGACCCGAGGTGGCTTACTTCAAACACACACCTCAAGCTGAGCTACACAGGGAGATCCTTTGGCTATTGTAACATGAAGAGCTCCTACATGCAGGCTCACCTTCCAGTGTATTTAGCTGCTTTGTACTCCTGCCAGCAGTAAGCTGTTGGCCCGGGTGTGCTGTTACAGAGGAAGATGAGATTAAAACCCCCGAAGCTATTTCCAAATAATCGAGAAGGAGCAAGCTGCAAACATCCTCCCTCGGAAAGAAGCCCTTTGTTTTTAAGCTCATCTCCTGCCCCCAGCAATGTGCATCTTCAAACCTTCAGAAGGAAGAGCAAGAGAAAACTCCTACAGAGTAACTACAGGTCAGCTGCGCCGCGGGGAGACCCAGAGGCCCAGCCCCACAGCAGCACCAAGGATGGAGGAAGACTCGGTGGGTTCCCTGGGGTGGCCGTGACCTTTCTGAGCATCCCTGGAGCAAGCGACGCCCCCCAGCCCCGGCCCTGCAGGCCTGGGGACTAACCAGCAGGGCTGGGGGAACTGTCTCCAAGCCTCAGGCGGGACCCCCTGCTGTCAGGCCAGGCGAGGCTGGGGGTGCTACTGGACGCAGCTGAAACAGCAGCCTTCGGTCCTGAATGCCTCTCAGGGTCACCGGCTGCTGGCCTGGAAGGGAAGGCCTTCCGCCTCCTCATGTTCCCTGCCCAACTCAGGAGCAAACATGGTGCGGGACAGGCGGTTACTGTTCAGCCGCTCAGTCGTGTCCGATGCTCTGCGACCCCACGGACGTAGCCCACCTCTGTCCATGGGCTTCTCCAGGCAGGAATACTGGACTGGGTTGTCATTTCCTTCTCCATGGGATCTTCCTGACCCAGGGACCGAACCTGAACTGCAGGCAGATTCTTTCCCATCTGAGCCACCAGGGAAGCCCGTCCGATTCTTCACGACCCCATAAACCGCAGCACGCCAGGCTTCCCTGTCTATCGCCATCTCCTGGAGCTTCCTCAAACTCATGTCCATCGAGTCGGTGATGCCATCCAACCATCTCATCCTCTGTTGCCCCCTTCTCCTCCTGCCTTCAGTCTTTCCCAGCATCAGCGTCTTTTCCAGTGAGTCAGCTCTTCACATCAGTTGGCCAAAGCTTTAAGTACCGGAGCTTCAGCTTCAGCATCAGTCCTTCCAATGACTATTCGGGGTTGATTTCCTTTAGGAGGGACTGGTTGGATCTCCTTGCTGATAAGCACTGGGAGAGAAACCGTTCTGCCCCTTTCCTGTGCCGGCCAACATGCCCCGCTTTTCCACCACCTCCTATAGACGTCTCCCCCCAGCCTCGTCCTCCTGGACGGTGAGCCATCCCCTCCCTGAGTGCCTGCAGCTTCTGCATAGAACTCCCAGGCCCCCAACAGGGGTGTCAGCAGATCTCTGAGCAGAGGTGGGCGCCTCGCCCAGCAAACGCTTGGTGAACGCTGCTCGCGGAGATGGTCATCAATAAGAAATGAGGAGTGGGCTTCCAGGGAGGGAGGTGGAGTGAGTGTTCTCTGAAGGACAAGACCCATGGGAAGGACCACCACGATTCGCTGAAGGGACGGCTCTGATCACAGCCTCAGGGGTCTCACCCGTGAATGGCTCCGTCCCCAGGAAGCAGGTGTCCACAGGGGCTGATTTCTGTCCAGGGAAGCCCTCTGCCTCCTGCAGCTTGAGTTCCATTGACAGTCATGAGTCCACAGCCAGAAGGAAAGACAAGGCTGGTGGTCCACTCCTGAAAATCTGTGCAATTATCCATCAGCTCCTCACTGACAGCAGGCAAGGAAGTGAGCCGACGTGATGGACGCTTATGAAGGTGGGTGAGGGGTCCCAGAGTCACCGTGGTTGGGGGGAGTAGCTCCTTCCCTGCATTCAGAGTCTCCCAGGAGGCCGGCGAGCAGCTCCCTGGTCAATACTAACGAGCCCAAGCATCTCTTCCTCTGCTCGCCGGTCCTTTTTTTTTGAAAGCCACTCAGTCGTGTCTGACTTTGTGACCCCATGGACTACACAGTCCATGGAATTCTCTCGGTCAGAATACTGGAGTGGGTAGCCTTCCCCATCTCCAGGGGATCTTCCCACCCAGGGATCGAAGCCAGGTCTCCCGCACTGCAGGTGGATTCTTTACCAGCTGAGTGATGGTCCTTAGGGTCTCCTCATTTATCGAATGCTGACTATTCAAGACTTCTGACTTTTTCTGGTAGACTGACTCATTATTCCAGTTTTCTTACTGATTCAAAGGAATCTGGGGGCTTTGCATTAATGACTTAGAGACACACAACTGTGAAATAAAAGAATCCTTGCTTTGAAGGTCTTTTGGGGAGGAGTGGGCCGGGGGACGTGGCAGGCAGGCCCCTCTGCTCCACTACAATCAGCCATGAGTGGACCTTTCCCGCCCCCCTCACAGGCTGCCGCCACATCTGTTTGCACTAATTCATAACACACACACATGCATTCTAAGCTACCATTAGTGCTTACTGCTGTTTTAATACCTTTTTCTGATCTTTAAATTTCTAGAGGAAGTGTTTCTATGGTAAAGTGTGGTGTGAACTCCAGGGCCAAAGACCACTGTTGAATGCTGGCGTTTACCTGATTATAATAAACTGGACAGAAATGACATCTTCCCCCTACAGAGTGCACCAGGCATGCCAACCAGAGCCGGTGTCAGCCGGGGAGGAACGAGGATGCTCCCGGGGTATGCGGATGGAGCCCGACCAGCGGGCACGCATGGTGTCAGTCTCAGCTAAGTGATGCCTATCACCACATTCTTCCACGTGATTGGTGAGGAGGCATCAACAGTTGGGAAGAAGCCCTGCTACATCATGCAAAAGCCCATCATAAACTGTGTGTGTGTGTGCGCAATCCGAGCTCCCAAAACTCCCCTTCACGGTCTCCACATGTGTTCTGAGCACAGGCACCTGCTTCCCCTGCCCACGTTTCTGCAGAATAAAAGCATGCATACAGCTGGGGATTAATAGGATTTTTTCATAACTCTGGCCAAGCTGTAAAACCAAGCCACAAAAGTGAAAAGGAAGGTGCTCCTACAAGGAGGAACCAGGTCTCCAAGGAGCCTGCCCCACCCACACCACACGCATCCTCAGAGGCACCCCCTCCCTGCCCCCGAGGCATTTTCCATGCAATAAACACCAGATTCGAAGCAAAATGGAAGAATCTTACTTCCATACCCATCCCTTGAGCCAAAAAATCCACATGGACAGTGAAAAAAATGGAACATTTCTACACAGTAAAATGTGGCTGCTACCTGGTTGGAAAAATCAATGTGAGTGAACAGTAGGGTGTTTTGATTCTAGAAATGAAGTATTACAGGGAAATCATAAGAAACCCGGCCAACTTTGCTCATGGTTTTCTAAGAAAGTGCTTTCAGACACTACTTAATTTTTCAAAAGGTGTCAGTAACATCAAGTAAGTCTTCTGCTTTCTCCTTCATAAAATAAGGCTCAATGCGACTCAAAATGCTGGTACCTGGTGGAAATGAAATAAGCATTTGCAAGCATCTTTCAGACTGAGGGACACAGAGGCCAACTCATTACGCTAATTTTTTTTCTCTTTCATTTACTCCATGAGTTTGTAAAAGAATTATTAGGTGCAAATGTTAGCTCACTAAAAACATATTTTCAGCAATTTTTAGGTATTGGATGACAAAACAGTTTTAAAAATAAATATATTTTAATTCCACATTATGCACACCCTCTGGCTTTTAAGTGATGACCAGTCACTTGAAATATTAGGTTTTGTGTTACTGTTAATTACGTGTGTCATCATGGTGGAGCAGTTATGAGTTCTGACCAGTGACTTGGCTCCTGGTATAAACATCTGAACCGTGGGCAGAATTTCTAATTATAAGATGCCTGCTCTTCAAACAGAAAAGAGGCCTGAAAGTAAACTCTACGCACAAATGCCTAAATATTGTCTGTAAAAATTCAGGAAGATGTTTTGTATTGTTACATAACATGTGTTTTTCCTTAGTAAATTTAATCCGGTGTAGTTGCGACACATGAATCATGAAATGTCTTGGGAAATGGTCTGACAGGTCTCCGTCACCAATTAATCAAAACTCAAGCTGCAGACCATTTTCAAATAAAAATGATCTGAATCATTTATAACATTTTGGTAAAATATTAATGGAAAACAGGCCCTTTTATAGATTATTCTCCCACCAGTGTTATTACCTTCAGTACATCAAGTGCACTTATGAGTAATAAAATAACACAAACAAACCATCTGGAAAGGGATCTGTGAAGAATGATCTGCTTTTTCTTTGCAATCATATACATACAAACCCAGAAACGCTCGCTTCTTTCAGCCAACGAAAACATTTGGTCACTTCTGCTGTTGACCACAGTCCTAGCGGCCACTCCTAAAAATTACGAGTCCCGAATTTCTGTAACCTATGGTGGTTCAGAACCAGATCTTCCATTCGTTTAAGCTTTCTTGAAAACAAAGGCCTCATAATAATTTGGGCTTTGTCCAGTGACGCAAATGTATCCCGATATTCCCCATAATCCCACCTAAGCTGACTTCCTTTGCGGTTATGAGCAGACATTAATAAGACCGCCAGCACACGGCCAGCAGCGTCAGCGGCAGGCTCGCCGCGTACAGGGCGTGAGACCTACCGGGACAGCGGGGCGTCTTGTGGGCCACGGCGGTGCCGCTGACGGGCCTCCCGTTGGGCGTCACGCACCAGCAGTACCCCGTGTAGCTGTGGCACTGGACCTGGGGGGGAGGACAGATGGGGCGGTCAGTGCCCGCGGGGGCGCCCGGGGCTTCCTGAGGGCTGCGTCTGGGCACCTGGCAAGGGGCCCCGTGGTGCCCTGGACCCGATCTCAGGGAGGAAAGGAAGCGGGGGTGTTTGTCCCGGACGCTGCTGCTGCCGGCCCGTGGCTGCTCGGTGTCTGAGCCCCCACTGGCCCTCATCTTATGAGAGGGGGTCCAAGGCCCTGAGCAGCCAGGATGCCTGCTCCCAGCCTGCCCATCGGCCCGAGGTGGAGCTGGGGACAGGAGACATGTCTGGCTGCCAGTAAGATGCTCTGTCCCTCCCCCGAGCCAGCCTGACTGGGCTCCACCCGCAGCTCCAAGCTCTCTCTGTCTCTCCCTCTCCTCCCTGAGACTTCCAAAGGTCAAGTGATTGCTGTAAAAAATGCACAGAATTCGTATTATTGGAAGAAATCTAGAGTGAAAGTCGCTCAGTTGTGTCTGACTCTCTGTGACCCCATGGACTGTACAGTTCATGGAATTCTCCAGGCCAGAGCACTGGAGTGGGTAGCCTTTCCCTTCTCCAGGGGATCTTCCCAACCCAGGGATGGAACCCAAGTCTCCCGCACTATGGGCTGATTCTTTACCAACTGAGAAACCAGGGAAGCCTGTACTATTGGCTGGCTCATGGCAGATCCTATCTTGTTTGCTTTTTTTCCTATCAGAAGCTAATACGTCAGTCAGCAGGGCATCTCAGGAATTAATTTCCTTTAATACAAAATGACAATGATAATATGACCTGTTCCTGGTGACCCCAGGAAAGGCAGACAGTACATGTGACCCTGACCTGTGATCTGGCGTGTGCCCCTCCAGAAACGACATCGCACTGGGGCTGGGATCTCTGCCATGAGCTGGCCAGTGAGACCCCGTCCGCTCCCCAGGACAGGAGCGCCTGCTCCGAGGAGGGAGCCACCGCTCTGAGGGGGAAGGGAGGAGCCGTCCCCGGGGAGGCCCCACCTGGCTGTAGGTGCCGTCATCGTTGCACTCCGGGATGAACACCTGCTGCAGCTCCCGGCGGGCCTGCTCCTGGGTGTACTTCCTCTCAGCCACGCACCTGGACACGTCTGCGGGCAGGCACAGGGCAGAGCGGTGGTCAGACCCCTGGAGACGCCCAGCAGAGGGAGCACGTGGGTGGCTAAGCTGCAGGGGCTCACGGGGCGGGCGGCTGCAGGCGGGCACCTGTCAGGGCGCCAGGGTCCCTGAGGGGAGGCCAGACCTGGTGGGAAGAGTGGGGTGTCCTCCACGTCCCGGGAGCCAGGAGGCCGAGGCTCCGAAAAGCCACCGGGCTTGACTGTGGTGAAAAGCAGACTCTACTTCCTGGACAGCGGAAGTTGGCTGGTACCCCCTCAGGCCACGGACAAGACTCCAGGACCCAAGGACCTCCCGCAGAGCACATGGCCAGGCTGTGTGCCACGTGGGGGCCATGTCCGAGAGCTACGGTGAGGATCAGCCCAGGGACGCTGGGCCGGGCGTGGGAGGGCAGGCCCCCGGGGCGCAGACCGTCCGGCCCGTGGCCGCAGCCCAGGGCCCGCCCCGTCTGCGCCCACCCTTGTCCGCCCCGCAGGCTCCTCCTCTGCATCTGAGTTTCTTATGATCTCAGAGTGACACCGGCTCCTGTGCTTCCAACCTCGAGTGGAAAGTCAAACAAGTCGGGTTAAAGGGTCAAATATCTTTATCAGGCCTCCTGGCTCACGGACACAGACTGCCACACATTCACAGTGAGATATCCAGTGTGACGGCTGGATAGAAAACACGAGGTTCCTCCTGTTCCTTGGGAGGTTACCCCGGGACCCCATAAACTAGCAGAAAAGGGAAGGACTGGGCAGCCCCCACCCAGCTCCGGACGCAGGCGTCAGGAAACGCGGCCACCAAGACGCGCTGTGGGGACCGGGTCTCGGTGAGAAAGGCAGTACCCACTCACCTGCTCCATCCGAGCTGGGCACCAGAGCCTGCTCACCCTTGACGCTCGTCTCGGAAGCCTGGCACAAGTTACGGGGGGCTGGGCTGAGCCCCAGGAAGGGCCCATCTTCCCAGGACTGCAGGCCAGCTGAGTCTGTGTCCACCGTGGAGAAGGCTGCCCCCGGGGCCGCCCCTGCCAGCCTCCCACACGGGGCCCGCACCCCGCGCACAGGACTTATGCCAGAGTTACGCCAGCCCACGTAACTCACTTGAATCTCACAAGTTGAAAAGAATGGCTTTCCCCATTTTTCTTAAGTGTTTCCAGATTTAAATTACAAGTTGTCTAGGTCTGAAAGGCCCTCTGGACGCTGAGAGATACTGCTTCAAACGTGTCCACCGCCCAGCATTTTTAGCGGGTGACTCTCCGCTTGCCTGGGAGTAAAATCTCCTGGCTACAACGAGACGCCATCTGGGCCCCAGCTCAGGGCTCAGGCTCCTGTCCCGCGGTGCCGGGTCTGAGCACAGATGCTGCTGCTGGGGGCCCTCATCTAGGACCCCGAGCAAGCGCCACCGGGGCGCCCCTTGGCAAAATGGGCCTGTGCGCTGGGGGGGCGTGTCCATGCGGGCTCAGGCCTCATGTCGTGATCTGCATTCTTGCCAGCACTCAGCAACATGTGGTTTTAATGCAGCCTATGTTTTTGCTGAGGCGAAAACACTGCTGTGCTGGACTTCTGTCCTCATTTTTTTAGTATAACCTGTGGTTTGACTGTCTAAAAGGAAAAGTGATATGCGTTCCCAGCCTGCAAGCTTCCACGAGGGTCCAGACAAGTTACAGATTACTCCCAACAACTGAACTCTCGAGGACCACAGCAAAAACACATACATCGACCAAAGAACCCTCCCGTCTCCGATGCCAGCTTCAAAAGCTTGTGTGTTTGCCACTGATCAGGGAGTTCTCAAACCTCTCACGTGGACAGAGCGTTAAGTTCCGGTTTATGCCAGCACACAGCCGATGGCCCAGGCACGGGGAGCCGGGAGGACTGTGCAGCGGGAAATGCAGGGCCCATCCCCAAGAGCAAGCCTCGATCTGCCCACCAAACCAGGGCGCCACTTGCCCAGACCACCTGCCTGCCCCGCCGCATCCCAGACATCTAAGTCAGGTGCAGCGGCTGCACTCTTGAGAAGGGTCTCAACAGCAGCCCACCGCTTCTATCCTACTGAAGTATGGGCCAGCCCCCTGGTGTGTTGTCTCATTGTGCTCACTGTTTTCTCTCAGTTGCAAAGTAACAGATATTCCTCTTCCAAGGGGATCACAAGCGTGTCTATGCATCAGGATACATTGGTCACAGAGACTGTCACAATGCAGCACTTGCTCTAAACCAGAAATAAACAGCCACGTTTTATAGCGGTCATTTCTAATGATGCTGTCTTTTAAACAGGAAGCAAATCATTTCCTACTTTGCTAAAATCACTCAAGATCGGATTAAGTGATTATGGGAAAAGACAGATTTGCTGCCCGTTTCATGCAGAAGAATTTAGGAGAAGAACAGTCACAAGGACCCAAGGAGGCTCAGCCAGAATGAGGTCAGGGCACTGACGTTTACAGGCAGCCCTGAGCTGGACCGCCCCAAGCCTCAGCGCTCTTCTTGGGGGGCCCCTGTCCATCACACACACAGGATGATGCTGAAACATGACTCTGAAGAAAGGGGATCGTGTTCCCTTTAACTCTTCCTAGGTGTCCTCACCCCAGAGAGAGCCCCCCAGCCAGCTCCTTACTGAGGAAGAAACTCAAGGGGATATGGAATTACTTACAGTCCATCTGTGAAATCTATGGAGAGGCTACACTGAGTAATTTTCTGGTCAACAGACCTGCTGACTCTGGACCTAGCAGGGTGACTACGTGTGGTGGTTTTGAGCATGGGGGGGGTCAACCTTCTGGGGACACAGCGTTCTCTCCGCTGGGCCCCCGTGGCCAGCACAGGGCCTGCACGGACCAGGCCGGGGTCGGAACAAACAAGGCCGATGAGGAAGCCAGCTTGCTGTTGGTAGCAGCCGCAGAACGCTAGCCCGAGGGTGACTGGCTTCTTACTTTATTGGCAGCGAATGAAGCAGATCTTGTATTTCAAAAGTTGTAGTACTTTACCAACCTGTCATTTTGAAGGCCAGACTCAGAGAAACTGAGAACTCTGTGCCGCGGCGTTCTTTGTGTAAATGATGCGAAGTGCCGGGCTGTGGCTTAGGACCAGCAGGACGCCAAGGAGGCTCCTCGTCTGCCCACCTGCCGCCGGCCAGCGGGCAACACCGCAGCAGGCGCCCACGCCACCCCTCGACGAGAGGGCGCGGCTCAGAGCCGGGGAGAAAGGGGCTGAGTGTCTATTTTAAGTAGGTATTATCATTGTAAATGCACAAAGAAACAAATTAGACAGCAAAACCCAGGGTGCATAATTGGGGTGGCCAAGGCCTAAAGGAAAAAGATAAAGTGCAAACTATAGCACAAACATATGAAAGTGTTCAGACGTTTCTGACAATGCTTATCCAGGAAACCACTGATCAGAACTGGCTCTGTGATGACTGACCACCGTGACCATCCGTGCATCACACCAGCTCCCCGTGAAAGTGGTCTCCGGGTCCTTTGTGTGACATTTGGCCTTGACCTTTGCAGGAAGGGGATGGCTGAGGCCACGCTGTGCCCGCCCAGCTCCCCCGAAGAACTCTTGGAGGACACAGGTGTTGCTAAAGCAAACAGAGAAAGTTTTTTTTCTTTCACAATATTTCACAAAGTTCTGTTGTATTTCTGATCCTGGTTTGAACATGAGAGCAATGGCCCCACCTCTTGTGTCTGCTTTCATCAAGAGGGTGCGTCTAACATCAGACCTGGGAGAACACCGTGGAAGGTTAAGGCCAACAAGCCTGGGGAGGGTTTCTGCAAGGGACAAGCGCTAGCATGATTAAACCGTCCTGGAACCACACGTGTAACAGGCATCTCAGAGCCTGCCTGTGGGTGCAAGGAGTCTGATGAGACGTGTCAGGAAGCAAGGACACAGGCCTAGCCAAAAGGACCTGGCAGAGGACACACGTAAGTACATATGTTCTTACAGGACACACATGCAACCTCCCCACATGGAGGTGCATGCCCACATATACACATGTATGTGAACCTGTGCACACAGGCACACACATCACACGCCTGCAGACGCCCCCATGGAAAGACTCTTTTTGCTGAAGAAAATGCTGGCAGGTCAACACTGATTTCAGTTCAGTTCAGTTCAGTTGCTCAGTCGTGTCCAACTCTTTGCAACCCCATGAACTGCAGCGCGCCAGGCCTACCTGTCCATCACCAACTCCTGGAGTTTACTCAAAATCATATCCATTGAGTCAGTGATGCCATCCAACCATCTCATCCTCTGTTGTCCCCTTCTCTTCCTGCCCTCAATCTTTCCCAGCATCAGGGTCTTTTCAAATGAGTCAGCTCTTTGCATCAGGTGGGCAAAGGATTGGAGTTTCAGCTTCAGCATCAGTCCTTCCAATAAACATTCAGGACTGATTTCTTTTAGGATGGACTGGTTGGATCTCCTTGCAGTCCAAGGGACTCTCAAGAGTCTTCTGCAACACCACAATTCAAAAGCATCAATTCTTCGGCACTCAGCTTTCTTCACAGTCCAACTCTCACACCCATACATGACCACTGGAGAAACCATAGCTTTGACTAGACAGACCTTTGTTAGCAAAGTAATGTCTCTGCTTTTTAATATGCTGTCTAGGTTGGTCATAACTTTCCTTCCAAGGAGTAAGCCTCTTTTCATTTCATGGCTGCAATCACTATCTGCAGTGATTTTGGAGCCCCCCAAAAATAAAATCAGCCACTGTTTCCCCATCTATTTGCCATGATGTGATGGGACCAGATGCCATGATCTTAGTTTTCTGAATGTTGAGCTTTAAGCCAACTTTCTCACTCTCCTCTTTCACTTTCATCAAGAGGCTTTTTAGTTCTTCTTCAGTTTCTGCCAAAAGGGTGGTGTCATCTGCATATCTGAGGTTATTGATATTTCTCCCCGCAATCTTGATTCCAGTTTGTGCTTCATCCAGCCCAGCATTTCTCATGATGTACTCTGCATATAAGTTAAACAAGCAGGGTGACAATATACAGCCTTGACGTACTCATTTTTCTATTTGGAACCAGTCTGTTGTTCCATGTCCAGTTCTAACTATTGCTTCTTGACCTGCATACAGAGTTCTCAAGAAGCAGGTCAAGTGGTCTGGTATTCCCATCTCTTTCAGAATTTTCCACAGTTTATTGTGATCCACACAGTCAAAGGTTTTGGCATAGTCAATAAAGCAGAAATAGATGTTTTTCTGGAACTCTCTTGCTTTTTCGATGATCCAGCAGATGTTGGCAATTTGATCTCTGGTTCCTCTGCCTTTTCCAAATCCAGCTTGAATACACTTACAGCAACCAAGCTGCGCCCTGGTCCTGGGCAGCGTTGCCAGATAACAAAGCCTCCCTGGGAGTAGAGGGAACTTCAGAGACCCTGCCTTACTCCCAGGCAGCTCATCTGAAGCCTGGGCAAGCGGCCGGTGATGCAGCTTCCAGCCTGTTTATCGGCTATCCAAATAAAAGCAAGGGCTGCTGACCACCACACACCCATGATCAGGAAAGCCTTCAGAGAGATAGACTTCCTCGTGTTTGCCTGAGCCAACCCTCTGCCTCAGAGATGAGAAGTCAGGTGCAGCTCTCCAGCCTGGCTTCTTCGTCCTGGTTACATGGTTCCCTGACCTCTGGGAGCTCAGGGGGTGCGGAGGCCAGAACCTCGCCCCCCAGCCCTATCCCTGCCCATGTGGAGACCCACAACGGCTCCTGCCCTGGAGGGGGAGGGGAGGGAGGCAGGCGGGGCCACGCCAGTCCTGCTGGGCTGCGTGCCTGCACCGCCCTCAGGCTTTACGTCCTGCGTTTTAATAAAATCACAGTAAAAGCGCAGAGAGCACTTCAGAGAGGGCGCTACCAAGCCCAGCACCGAGAGGGGCTGACGGGCGCTCTCGGGCCTCGCAGAAATCCGCTGGAAATCCTTGGTGCTTTCAGGGGCGACAGCCCTGCTGACCACGTGCATGCGTCATGCCTTTCATGGAATGTCCAGAAACAGAGCTGCAGCCTGAGCTCTCCCTGCAGGACCAGCAGAGTCCACATCCTGCCCAGGCCAGCAGGGCGTCCCCCACAAGTGGCCCGGGTCATGAGGGTGAATGCAGGTGGTCCCGTGGACCCAGGGCCTGGCCTGGCCTGAGCACGCCGAGGTGACACTCATCACAGCAGCCCAGCTGGGACAAAGGGCCCGTAGGCAACCCCAAGTCTTCTGGGCCGACGGTCACTATTCAGCCAGAGTGAACGCCCAGGTATGTATCACTCAGGTTTTCACAGGGAGAGAGTGAGGGATCCGGAAGTCATCACAACTGTGATGGGGTCCGTCTGCACAACTTTGCAGACCTCTGTGCTCATGTGCTGATGACACTCATGCCCACGGAGACCCCAACATGGGCAGCGGTCACTCTGCGATAACCATCAGGACAGCACCTGTGAGATTCGGGCAGTGAAGGAGAAGGAGGAGAAATACCAGGCGTCACTTTGCGACAATGTTCTTCTTCTTACACATCCATCACTCAAAAGACCTGGGTCTTAGAGTCTCCAGGAAGCTGCTTTTGTCAGAATCCTTTATGACTGTGTTTCCAGAAATCTCAGAATAATTCCAAGATCTCCTGGCATTTGACTTTTCTTTTTCTTCTCTCTTCTGTTTTTTAAATTTAATGCCAGAGATTTGCTTGAAAAGAAAGGCAGTCCCAATGGTCTTAGATCAAAAGAAAAACATTAATGAGTTTGCTGGCTTCTAAAAGTAGAAACTCCACAAATTTCAAAGAAAATATGAGAAAAACCTATTTGTGTAAACCACTGAACTTCTGTTCAAGGTCAGGAGAGCATAATAGGAAATGCAAAAAACATTTTCCTCCAACTTAACCAAATCCTGAAATATTTCAATCGTTTCTAAACTAGAACATCCAAAGGAGACTGGCCCATGAAGCTGTCACCCATCACATATGTGCAGATGTCTTCAAAACTCACAGCTTCACACTCACCAACTTGATACTTGATTCACCAGCCAATTTCAACACCAGGAACAATTTAGGGCAAACGAGGATGGGTCTTTGCATTCCTTGCGGTGGAAGGACCTTTCGGCCTGCTTCTCTACCTCTCACCATCAGAGCAGAACGTGCCTGAGCTGGACTGGTGTGGAGTCTGGCCAGCGCTCTTGGGCAGAGCGGGACAGCAGCAGCTGCCCGCTGCCACCAGGATGCCCATCCCGCCCACCAGCACCAGGCCCCTCCTGTTCACACTGAACCCTCACCATGTGGCCCAGAGCAGGCTGGGGGTGTTAGACGCTGGACTTCAGGCGACAGGACAGGGAAGCAACCTGAGAGGCAAGCCAGCCAGTAGGAGGGGGCCCATCCCATCTGGGGAGGTCTGGCTCCCGCTCCTAGCCCGGCCCCAGGGAAAGGCTGCTTATGCAGGAAAAGTCTGCTGCAGGCGGGAAACCCCTTCTCTGTGGCCCCCTGAGGACCAGACTCAGATCGCCAGACCCAGAGACGGGGGCTGAGAGCAGATGCCTCAGAGCCCCAGGCCTGCCCCCCCAGATCTAAAATGTCAGTACAATAAAGCCCGTTTATTTCAAACTGTGCTATACAACTAACAGCGTCTCTGTAAAGTAACTGTATATATTTGCTACCCATAGTAGCTGAAGCACCAAATAAGCTTGATCTTGAAGTTTATAGGTATCTTCACATTCTCTTTATTTTAATCCTTTTGATTTGAATTAAACTTGATTTTAGGAGATAAGTTCTGTTTTTACCTTCATTGTTGTTCAGTCACTAAGTCATGTCCAATTCTTTGAGACCCCATGGACTGCAGCACGCCAGGCTTCCCTGTCCTTCACTGTCTCCCAGAGTTTGCCCAAATTCATGTCCACTGAATCAAAGATGCCATCCAACCATCTCATCCTCTGTCATCCCCTTCTCCTCCTGCCCTCAGTCTTTCCCAGCATCAGGGTCTTTTCACATGAGTCAGTTCTTCACATCAGGTGGCCAAAGAATGGGAGCTTCAGCAACGGTCCTTCCAATGAACATCCAGGGTTGATCTCCTTTAGGATTGACTGGTTTGACCTCCTTGCAGTCCAAGGGACTCTCAAGAGTCTTCTCCAACACCACAGTTTGAAAGCACCAATTCATTAGCACTCAGCTTTCTTTATGGTCCAACTCTCACATCCATACATGACAACTGGAAAAAGCATACCTTTGACTATATGGGCCTTTGTCAACAAAATGATGTCTGCTTTCTAATATGCTGTCTAGGTTTGTCATAGCTTTCCTTCCAAGGAGCAAGCGTCTTTTAATTTCATGGCTGCAGTCACAGCAGTAGTTTTTAACCTTCTCCCTTATCTCATTTTTTGTCATAAATTTACGGCATGAAATTTCTTCAGTGAGGTGTGAGAATTCCAACCAAGGAGTTATCCAGAAAAGTTAGGCTGGATCCAAACACAAGTAAGCTAAAAATGACGTTACCGAAAGGCCATCTGTGTTTAATGCCAACATGGCCTCCTGTCCAAAAACGATGCAAGGTGGACCCTGCAGAGCTCCAAGTGCGAGGTTTGGGAGAATCCACCCTGACAGACGGACCCAGACAGACAGACGGACGGATGGGCCTCTGGCCTCAGTGTGAATAATGCCTCTCTGATGCCCATGGAGACCACAGCCAACACAGAGGTTTAATATGGCAGCTTCCTCATGGTCCTCCAACTGAGGGTCTGACAGGAGTTGTCTCCAAGAGGATATCTGATGGGGGTGTCTAAAGGAACAGGGCACCAAAGACGAACATAAAACTCAAACCTCACACCACAGTACCTGTCCTCACGAGCTAAGCCAGCATAGGCCACTGCTTCTAGAAGCTTCTCTGCAGGGGAGATCCCCTGATACTTGAGTCTACTCTTGGGTCACTTTCCATTTCTCAGCGCAGACAGCTGAGGTGTGTGACAGCCATCAAGGCATAAAGTTACCTCCACGTTCCTCACAGAGTGATGAGTTTAGGGCACACTAATCAGACACCAGGAGGAAGCTGGGTGCTGGGCTGCCCAACGTCCGTGGGCAGAGGGCCCCATGAGGTGCCAACAGGAGCAGCACCCAGGCCCAGGGAACAGGCAGCTCTGTCTCTGTCACAGGGAGAAGTGAGTCGGACCTGTCCCCTAGGCCGGGTGGCCCTGTGAAAGGAACGGCAGCTCACTCAGAGCCTGGCCGAGTGCGGGCCCGAGGCAGCAGCTTCCCTTCATTTGAGCAGTTGTTGGGCTAATAGCTAGACACCGCAGGACATGGTCTTAAGCGGGTTTTAGCCTGTGTGGTCTTTTCTCCTAGATAATAAGAAAAAGAAAGTCAAATCTCTTTCTGAAAATGAGTCTATTTGTGTTTGAAACGTGTTTTGCTGAGTCAAACCTTTCATTAACGCGGGAAACGTTTCAATGTTTTGCTCTAAGCCTGCTTGTTAGCTCCAAATCCACTTCTTAAATCAGGAAAACTGAAAATTACAAGTGTAAAATCAGCGCCAACAAAGAAGAAAAAAAAAATCCCTGAAAACAGCACAGGTGCTATTATACACCCCCCACATGTTAGACAGTGAAACGAGAAAGGGTTGAAAGAACCACTTTAAAAAACGGGGGCAAGAAAGAATCATTTTAGGAGACTCTGGAAACATTCTGTGAAACCTGGATGAATTTGTGTTGCGATGTGTGATGTTATAAAACATTCTAAGAAAAAAGAACATTCAACAAGAACATAATGATTCAAAAACGACTCTTACCACTACGCGCCCTGACAAAGATTCACGAGCAGATACCCTTGATTTTGCACAGGAAAACTTGGCCAGGGGAAGACAAAGCACGTAAATGTGCATTTCAGGGCTTGGCTCCTGAACAAGGGATGGAAGGAAACTTACCTCTGCAGTTGCCTCGATAAGCAATCTCTAGCTGGGGGTCTTTGCACTTGGCGCGTTGAAACTCGCAGCGGGATAGGAAGGTCCTCCCGTCCGAGGCACACAGCGGCTTCTGGGCGGAGCCCCCGCAGTCCAAGCTGCAGTCTTTGTCCTTGTCTTGGTCAACTCTGAGAAACTTGGAGGAGAAAAGGAAAAGAAGCCAGACGCCTCAGGCAGTGTTCTGGGGAAAGCAGGAGGCTGCCTAGGCCACGTGGCCGCCTCAAGGAGCGTTCTGGGGAAAGCAGGACGCTGCCTAGGCCACTTCGTCGCCTCAAGGAGTGTTCTGGGGAAAGCAGGACGCTGCCTAGGCCACGTGGCCGCCTCAAGCAGTGTTCTGGGGAAAGCAGGAGGCTGCCTAGGCCACTTGGTCATCTTAAGGAGTGTTCTGGGGAAAGCAGGAGGCTGCCTAGGCCACGTGGCCGCCTCAAGCAGTGTTCTGGGGAAAGCAGGAGGCTGCCTAGGCCACTTGGTCATCTTAAGGAGTGTTCTGGGGAAAGCAGGACGCTGCCTAGGCCACTTGGCCGCCTCAAGCAGTATTCTGGGGAAAGCAGGAGGCTGCCTAGGCCACGTGGCCGCCTCAAGGAGTGTTCTGGGGAAAGCAGGACGCTGCCTAGGCCACTTGGTCGCCTCAAGGAGTGTTCTGGGGAAAGCAGGAGGCTGCCTAGGCCACGTGGCCACCTCAAGGAGTGTTCTGGGGAAAGCAGGAGGCTGCCTAGGCCACTTGGCCATCTCAAGGAGTGTTCTGGGGAAAGCAGGAGGCTGCCTAGGCCACTTGGTCATCTTAAGGAGTGTTCTGGGGAAAGCAGGACGCTGCCTAGGCCACGTGGCCGCCTCAAGGAGTGTTCTGGGGAAAGCAGGACGCTGCCTAGGCCACTTGGTCGCCTCAAGGAGTGTTCTGGGGAAAGCAGGAGGCTGCCTAGGCCACGTGGCCACCTCAAGGAGTGTTCTGGGGAAAGCAGGACGCTGCCTAGGCCACTTCGTCGCCTCAAGGAGTGTTCTGGGGAAAGCAGGAGGCTGCCTAGGCCACTTGGCCATCTCAAGGAGTGTTCTGGGGAAAGCAGGACGCTGCCTAGGCCACTTGGTCGCCTCAAGGAGTGTTCTGGGGAAAGCAGGACGCTGCCTAGGCCACGTGGCCGCCTCAAGGAGTGTTCTGGGGAAAGCAGGACGCTGCCTAGGCCACGTGGCCGCCTCAAGGAGTGTTCTGGGGAAAGCAGGACGCTGCCTAGGCCACTTGGTCGCCTCAAGGAGTGTTCTGGGGAAAGCAGGAGGCTGCCTAGGCCACTTGGCCATCTCAAGGAGTGTTCTGGGGAAAGCAGGACGCTGCCTAGGCCACTTGGTCGCCTCAAGGAGTGTTCTGGGGAAAGCAGGAGGCTGCCTAGGCCACGTGGCCACCTCAAGGAGTGTTCTGGGGAAAGCAGGAGGCTGCCTAGGCCACTTGGTGTTGAAGGAGTGTCCCAGAAACATGGTGGGAAGCCCGGAAGCCTCTGACCTCCGGGGTCTCAGACATCCAGATAGCTGGTCATTTCCTGCTCTGCTCAACGTCCAGTGGCTGAACCTCTGAACGCTCCACCACTGGCCTGGGACACCGTCCAGCTCTGCCCTGGGACACACGTGTTCTGTTTACCTCTAACTGTCTGAATAGCGATGCTTTTCTTTGAGTCTGTGAATTCAGTGCCTGGTTGACCCCTCCATTCACTATGTTTTGCCATCAACTTGGAAGTCACAGAGTCTGGAGCCCCCTGTCTTTCTGGAATTGGGGGGGGCAGGCTCTCCCTGCTGGAAAGCACCGCACAATCTCATCCACACCCCAGGTACCCCTTCATATGGAAGGTCAGCTTCTGAGTAAGTGCCCTGGCTCCACGGGGTCCGAGGGACCCTCTGGGACCCAGGGCTGCAGGGGCGCTACAGGCAGAGAGCCGCTGCCCGGGGGCCCCTCCCGGGCCCCTGTCCTTGCCTTGGCTCCTCTGATGCCTGGACACAGAGCTTCAGAGCTCGGGGTCTCCCAGCGGGGCTCAGATCTAGCCACCAGCCTCCCACACCCGCCCCCACACAGTGGATGGTGTCCCCTGCCCCCCTCAGCTTCCCAACCCCCCACACACCCCCACCCCAGTCCTGCCTAGTCGTCCTCACCCCAGACACGACAAGCATGAAAGTGACCCCAACGCTGCTTTCGGTTGAGGACGTGGTCACTGGAGCGTCGCCTGCCCCGCCCAGGCCTGTGCTCTGATTAACGGAGCACCACTGAGCCATTAAAGGAAAGAAGGCCAGTGCCGAGGTGCGGCACTTCTCGACACTCCACAGTGTGTGCACAGCCCTGGGCGCTGTGGCCGTTTGAACGGTTTATCCAGCAGGTTTGCCCCCGTAATACTTGGCTCTGCTCACAGAGACCCCGACCCCCATTCAAGTCGGAGCCGGAGGAAAGTGGGAATGCAGTTCAGCAGAAGCTCAGGGACCTCATCGACCTGCTGTCTCGTCAGGAAGAAACAGAGAGAAAAGTCTCAAACTCAGGGTGCCTCATTCCTCGAGAAGATAGATACCCAAACTCGGCTCTTTCATCTCCGAGTGTCCTGCTTGGTGACATGTGAAGACAAACCGATGCCGAAGCTGAGGTGAAGCTGGGGGAGGGAAGGGCCCCGGGCTTGGGGGTCAGCTGCCCAGGGAGCCACATCCCTCCTGGGGTCCAGGTGGGGTCCCGGGAAGAAGGGCAGCCAGGGCACTGTGGCTGGGAGCTGGCGGGCGAGCACTTCTCTACCTGAACCTCTGGGAGCTGATGAGGGGCCGTTTGCAGGGTTTCTGGATGAAGGCTCCAGCCATCAGACCGTGCTCAGCATCTGGAGCATCACGTCTTTATCCAGTGGGGCTCCAGGGACGAGGGGGGCAGACTTACCCTGCTCTAATGTTTCCTGTGAATAAGGTCACTTGCTGAAATGATCTGTGCTTATTTTAACCAAGAGGCAAATGAAAAGAGATCATTGCCTTCTCCAAGATTTTGCAAAAAATATATATATATATATATATATTTTTCTTAAATAGAGCAAATACAGAAGCTTTCTGTGTGGATCACAACAAACTGTGGAAAATTCTGAAAGAGGTGGGAATAGCAGACCATCTTACCTGCCTCCTGAGAAACCTTTATGCTGGTCAAGAAGCAACAGTTAGAACCGGACATGGAACAACAGACTGGTTCTAAATTGGGAAAGGAGTACATCAAGGCTGCATATTATCACCCTGCTTATTTAACTTATACGCAGAGTACCTCATGTGAAAAGTAAGGCTGGATGAATCACAAGCTGGAATCAAGATTGCCAGGAGAAACATCGATAACCTCAGATATGCAGATGACACCACCCTTATGGCAGAAAGTGAAGAACTAAAGAGCCTCTTGATGAAAGTGAAAGAGGAGAATCAAAAAGCTAGCTTGAAACTCAACATTCAAAAAATGAAGATAGTGGCATCCAGTCCCCTCACTTCCTGGCAAATAGGTGGGGAAACAATGGATATAGTGACAGACTTTATTTTCTTTGGGCTCCAAAATCACTGTGGACAGTGACTGCAGCCATGAAATTAAAAGACACTTGCTCCTTGAAAGGACGCTATGACAAACCTAGACAGCGTTTTAAAAAGCAGAGACATCAACCCATTTATGGCTAACAAACACATGAAAAGATGCTCAACATCACTCATTATCAGAGAAATGCAAATCAAAACCACAATGAGGTACCATTACACGCCAGTCAGGATGGCTGCTATCCAAAAGTCTACAAGCAATAAATGCTGGAGAGGGTGTGGAGAAAAGGGAACCTTCTTACACTGTTGGTGGGAATGCAAATTAGTACAGCCACTATGGAAAACAGTGTGGAGATTTCTTAAAAAGCTGGAAATAGAACTGCCATATGACCCAGCAATCCCACTTCTGGGCATACACACCGAGGAAACCAGATCTGAAAGAGACACGTGCACCCCAATGTTCATCGCAGCACTGTTTATAATAGCCAGGACATGGAAGCAACCTAGATGCCCATCAGCAGATGAATGGATGAGGAAGCTGTGGTACATATACACCGTGGAATATTACTCAGCCATTAAAAAGAATTCATTTGAATCAGTTCTAATGAGATGGATGAAACTGGAGCCCATTATACAGAGCGAAGTAAGCCAGAAAGATAAAGACCATTACAGTATACTAACACATATATATGGAATTTAGAAAGATGGTAACGATAACCCTATATGCAAAACAGAAAAAGACACTCAGATGTATAGAACGGACTTGTGGACTCTGTGGGAGAAGGCGAGGGTGGGATGTTTCAAGAGAACAGCATTGAAACACGTATATTATCTAGGGTGAAACAGATCACCAGCCCAGGTTGGGTGCATGAGACAAGTGCTCGGGCCTGGTGCACTGGGAAGACCCAGAGGGATCGGGTGGAGAGGGAGGTGGGAGGGGGGACCGGGATGGGAATACATGTAAATCCATGCTGGTTCATTTCAGTGTATGACAAAAACCACTGCAATGATGTGGGGTAATTAGCCTCCAACTAATAAAAATAAATGAAAAAAAAAAAAAAGGCAGAGACATCACTTTAATGACAAAGGTCTATCTAGTTAAAGCTATGGTTTTTCCAGTCGTCATGTATGGATGTGAGAGATCAACCATAAAGAAGGCTCAGTGCTAAAGAATTGATGCTTTTGAACTGTGGTGTTGGAGAAGACTCTTAAGAGTCCCTTGGACTGCAAGGAGGTCCAACCAGTCCATCCTAAAGGAAATTAGTCCTGAATATTCATTGGAAGGACTGATGCTGAAGCTGAAACTCCAATACTTGGCCACCTGATGTGAAGAACTGACTCACTGGATAAGACCCTGATGCTGGGAAAGATTGAAGGCAGGAGAGAAGGGATGACAGAGGATGAGATGGTTGGATGGCATCACCGACCCAGTGGGCATGAACTTGGGCAAACTCTGAGAGATGGTGAGGGACAGGGGCTGCAGTCCATGGGGTCAAAGAGAGTCGGACACAATTGAACAGAAAAAAGCACAGAAGCACGCTGAATGAATTCTGTCACCACGGAATTTCAACCTCTTTTTCTTTTCGCTCTCCCTGTTCAGTCCTGGAAACAGGACCTCCACGTGAGGGA